AGCTGCTTCTCCTGATTCAAAGTGTTCTAACTCCTGGTGGGTTTAATGTTCGGCTGCATCCATTCAGACGTCCTGCTGCTTCGCTGCAACGCTCTGAATCATCAAAGTGTTTCTCAGTTTAAATGAAGTCTGCTGACGTCTGAGGCTGCAGGTGAGAAGCCTGAAGGACAACGTGATCTCCGAGTTCCTGGAAGAGTCCGAGCTGCTCCGCGTTCAGCGCAGATTAGAAACGAGAGGACTCAGGCTGCTGCCAGAGAACACGTCGTTCCAGGAGATAAAAGCTCGGCGACGGACCCACGAGGGAGAAACAACGGGCTATTTATAGAAACGCTGAAAGAAAACGGAGGTAGTTTGGAACCGTTCGGAGATCAGGTCGGTCCTCACAGCTGTAGACAAACAGGTGAGTCGGTTTTACCTGCTCAACACGTTTCACTATCTACAGCTCTAACTGGGCTCCTCTGTGAAGAACAACCAAAAACCTGAAGAACTGTTTTTACAGAATCTGATCCGAGAGCTGATTTGTTTTGAGGATTTTAAAGAAACAATCTTCAGCTCAGATGAGTTTTATGAACTGCACAGGATGAGTTCAAGAACCTTCAAAAAGCTGAAAAACTGACAATATTTTTAGTTTTTACAGTTTCTGGCTCTAATAAATGGAAGAATTTCTGCATTTTTTTAAAGATAACTTGCATTTTTTTTAACATGTTGATGAGTTCTGGGGTTCTGACTGGTACTGAGACGGACCATTATTACGTTTATTATGTTTTATCCCGAAAAAAAACAAAACAAAACACTTAATTCTGACACTGTTAATTCATGAAGCTACACGGCTCGTTGCTAACCTGAGGCTTGAACAGCTCCAAACTCACCGGCTTTCTTTCTAGCACGTGTTGGTCCTCACAGCTATAGAGAAACACAGCGAGCAGCCGGACAGGTGAGTCTATTTTTACAGGTGAGAGCACATCAGCAGCATTTGACTGTGGTCGCAGTCGATGAGGACAGTTTGCATAAAGAGGCACCGAACAAGGAGGAAGAAGCGAGTCAGCAGCAGGACGTCTGATGTTTACTGAGCTCAGCTTCCTGTTGGGTTTCTGTACAAACCCAGGACGGACCGAACATCAGCGGCTTCATCTCCTCAGAGCTGCTGGTCCTCCTTCATGACATCAGAAACCATCAGAGGGTTTTACTATCAGAGGAGGTGTTCGTCACTGGAAACCTTTTTATCATAAACTCTAAATATTTAAACGCTGTCTGTTGAGGTTTACGGTGACGTATTAAATACTTTAAACAGATAAAGTCTCTTAAAGCTCTCCTGTCGACCCACTTCCAGCAGGTTGATCCTCACAGTGAAGTCTGAGGCTGGTTTGAACAACATCTCTGAAGGTTCGGTGTGCCGACCAACAGCCGGTTCTGGTGGTGCCGGTTTGGGTCTGATGAACTCTGCTGCTCCACCTCTACACCCTGAACCAGGTGATGAAGGCGTGTCGCACTGAGCACGTGCGAGCCGGGGCCTCCCTCTGCTCACGGGGAATCTGTTTTGCTCACCAGGTTGCTCGGCAACCGTGACGTCACCGCAGAGCACGACAAAGAGAGCAGAGGAGGAGGAGGGGGGTCACCACGGCGACGCTGGGCCAACAGAGAACACATTGATCCTGATCGAACAGCTGATCGATTGATCGGTAAAACACAGAAACAGAAACAGAGCAGCTGCCGGATGTTTTCATCTCCTGTTCCTTCACTGAGGTTCATGTTCCACTAAAGTCCTGCAGCTCTGAGGAACCAGAACATGAAGGAGGAGGAGGAGAGAGAACTCAGAGACGGGTTCTGTCAACAGGACTCAGTCAGAATGAGTAAAGTTGAATTTCTTAAAATAATACTTGTTTTATAAAAACGCAAACCAGGAGCCTTCAGGTCCAACATGTGTCCACAGACGTTCAAACACCAGAACTAATGTCGTCTGCAGATGTTCAACTATTTACAGTTTGAATTCGTCTCTTTTGTCTCTGAGGAAACACAACCTGCAGAATCTCCAGTTCTGGACAGAACCTGATTGGATTTAAAGAAGCATCACAAGTCTAAGCTTTCAGACTGAAAAGATGAAAAGTTCAAACCTGCTGGTGTTTATTGTTGTTTTAACAGTTTCTTACTCTCCAAACTGCACCACACCAGTTATTCTATTAACACTCTGAATTAATTAAGTTTGCCAGAGAACCTGGAGAGAACCCACGCTGCACGGGGAGAACATGGGGACTCCAGATCCCGGGTTTCCTCACCGGGACGCGAACCGGCGACCTTCTAGCTGTGAGGCAATGATGCTAACCACCGAGCAGCTGAAACAATGTTAGCATCCTAAAAATGGGATCATTTAAATTAAAAGATGTGAAAATAAAGCCAACATGAGGACGTCAGCGTCGGTCTCAGATCGATGTTCTGTCCTGACATTACCAGGGTTTATGCTGCAGATTAAAAACAGTCTCTAACGTTTGCATCCTTGTTGTTTTCATGTGTCGTCGTGTCGGTCGCTCCTCATTTGCATAAAGCTGATGTTGAGTCCAGCGACTGGAACGTCTGTAAAGTCCAAAAAACGCTCATGATGCAGAACAAGAAAAACTTCATCCCTCTGTTTTCTGCTCCTGTTTCTTTGCATTTATTTTATTACTCAAATAAGTTTTGTTTTCCTCTCAGTCTCCCCTCAGATGTTTCCACAAACGCATTTCCGTGAACCGTTTTATGAGAAAGTCTTCCTCAGCTTCAGTAATAAATGTGTGAAATCAGAGAACAGTCAGATCCTGCCGTGACTCACAGAAACCCAGACGAGGTTATTTACACCTCCACAGTTCATCATGTGGGTTAACGTCTGCTTCGTTCTGACAGAAGAACCTCCTCAGCGAAGCAGAGGAAGCGTTTTATATGCGGCAGTGACCCGATAGAACCCTGGAACTGTGACAGAGAAGCAGGTCGCTCCTGAAATCTGTAAATGTTTGAAGCATGTTTTAGTGTCCGTTGGTTCTGTGATCACGTCCAGCAGATGTTGGTCGAGAAGACGGATGAACAACAATCACACCCACAGAACCGTTAATGAACCCGACAGTCAGACTGTGGGAGGAAGAACAAACCCACTCTGGCTCCAGCAGAACCACCAACCAACCAACAGAACCACAGATCAACAAAACCACTAACCAACAA